GCCCAAAGTCCCCTCGTGCTCCCATGGAACCAGCTCCTCCCCACCCCAGGCAACCATGATGTGTTTTCTGTCCCTGTAGCTTTGCCTTTGCAGTAGGCTCACTTAAAAGGTGCCACCAGGATGCAGACTCTTGCAGTCTGGTTGCTTTCATATAAAGGTCCCTCCCTCCCTGTCGTTGCCTTTTACAGTTAGTGCTAGTTCCTTCTGATGGCTGAAGAATATTCCACTGTACGGATGGACCACAGTGTGCACAGCCACTCCCTGGCAAAGGACATTTGGTTTGTTTCCCGATTTTGGCAATTATGAATAAAGCCACCTTAAACATTCCTGTGCAGAATTCTGTGTGGATGTGTTTTCATTTCTCCCAGGAGGGGAATTGTAGGGTAAATGTCAGTTTGACTTTGTTAGTAACTGCCCAGCTGGTATCCAAAGTGGCTGCCACTTTTTACATTCCTATGAGCCACAGAGGAGAGTCAGTACTTTAGGACTGAAACCATTCTAGTGGGTATGAAGTGGTATCTCATTGTGGTTTTAAACTGCATTTCCATAACAACTAATGATATTGAGCATCTTTTCATGTGCTCATTGGCCAGTCCTATATCTTTGGTGATGTGTCCTTTCAAATCTTTTGCACATTAAAAAAAAATGAGGTTGTTTGTTTTCTCATTATTGAGTTTTGAGGGCTCTTTCAATATCTTAGATACCAACTCTTTATGGTGATTTGCAAATATTTTCTCCCAGTGTGTGGCTTGGCTTTCCATTCTCTTAAGTGTCTGGTGAGGAGCAGAAGTTCTCGATTTTGATGAGGTCCAATTTATCGATTTCTGCTTTTATGAAATGTGCTTTTGGTTTCTTCTCTAAGAAATCTTTGCCTTACCCAAGACCATAAAGATTTTCTCCCATGTTCTCTTCTGTATGAGTTTAGGTCTGTGGTCCATTTTGAATTAATTTTTGTATCTGGTGTGATGATGGAATTAAAGTTCGTTTTTAAGTGTATGGATGTCCTCTTGTTCCAACACCATTTGTTGAAATGACTTTCCTTTCCCTGTTTTATTGTCTCATCACCTCTGTTGGAAAGCAATTGACTATATATGTATGCATCATTTCTGGACTCTATTCTTTTCCGTTGTTCTACATGTCTATCTTTAGTCCATTTCCATACTGCCCAGGTTACTTTAGCCTTGTATTATAGTAAGTCTTAAAATTGGGTTGTGTGAATTTTCCCACTCTGTTCTTTTCCAAAACCGACTCTTCTAGTTCCTTTGCCTTTCCATATGAATTTTAGCCTTAGCTTGCCATTTCCTACCAAAACTTCGGGGATTTTAATTGTATTGAATCTATGCATTAGCTCAGGGAGAATAACATCCTAAAAACACCCAAGTCTTTCAATCCATGAACATGGTATACCTCTCCCTTTATTTGGTCTTAGATTTTTTTCATCAGTGTTTTTGTGATTTCCAGCATACAGACCTTCCCCATGTTTGCTTAGGTTTATACCTAAGTATTTGGTGTGTTTTTCGTGCTATTATGCAAGGTACTATCTTGTCTTTTCTTTCTTTCTTTCTTGAAGAAATTTTATTTGTTTGTTTAGAAATAATTCACATATAACATTCTATTAGTTTTAATTTTATTTATTTATTTTTTATTTTTGGCTGCATGGGGTCTTCGTTGCTGTGTGCAGGCTTTCTCTAGTTGTGGGGAGTGTGGGCTACACTCCGATGTCGTGCTTGAGCTTCTCATTGTGGTGGCTTCTCTTGTTACCGAGCACTGGCTCTAGGCACTCGGGCTTCAGTAGTTGTGGCTCACGGGCTCTAGAGCACAGGCTCAGTAGTTGTGGCACATGGGCTTAGTTGCTCTGCGGCATGTGGGATCTTCCCAGACCAGGGATCAAACCCATGTCCCCTGCATTGGCAGGTGGATTCTTAACCACTATACCACCAGGGAAGTCCCAATACTAGTTTTAGAGGTACAACATAATGATTCAATCTTTGCAAATATTGCAACATGATCATCACAGTAAGTCTAGTTAACATGCGTCACCGCACAGAGTTACAAAATTTTTTTCTTTGCTCAGAACTTTTACATGGTACTGTCTTTTTTTTTTTTTTTTTTAACATTTATTTATTTAGGCTGCTCCAGGTCCTAGTTGCGGCATGCAGGATCTTCGTGTGGCACGTGGGATCTTTAGTTGTGGCATGAGGACTTTTAGTTGCGGCGTGCAGATTTCTTACTTGTGGCATGCAGACTTCTTAGGTGCGGCATGCGAACTCTTAGTTGCGGCATGTGAACTCTTAGTTGAGGCACGTGTGTGGGATCTAGTTCCCCGACCAGGGATCGAACCTGGGTCCCCTGCATTGGGAGCTCAGAGTCTTATCCACTGGACTACCAGGGAAGTCCCATGGTGCTGTCTTTTAATTTCAATTTCCAAAGTTGTTCATTGCTAGAAATATCTTTTTATATTGACCCTGTATCCTGCAACCTTGCTAAACATGTTAGTTTTAGTAGTGTTTTTTAGTATGTTTTGAGATTTTCTATGTGAAGAGTCATGTCTGCAAGAAGAGAGTTTTATTTCTTCTTTTGTAACCTGTTTGCCTTTTATTTCTTATTCCTAGACTTCCAATGGGAGGTTGAATAGGAGTGGTGTCTGTACATCAAAATATTCTCACTCTTTATAAGGTCTTTTTTTTGCTTTTTTAAATTTTATTTTTTGGCCGCGCCACGTGGCTTGTGGTGGGATCATAGTTCGCTGACCGGGGATTGAACCTGGGCCTTGGCGGTGAAAGTGCCAAGTCCTAACTACTGGACCACTAGGGAATTCCCTCTTTTTGCTTTTATATTGTCATAATGGCTTGGTAGCTCCATGCACTGCTTGCTTTTTAAATAAGTTTTGAAGATTAATACCTGTCCAAAAGCTTTGTTTTTTCTGACAACCGAAGTAATATGTTCTCTTTCCTAAACTGGCCAGTACTAAAAATTATGCAGAAAATCAGTCATCTGTAATCTGCCATGTCAGAGATCATCACCAGCAAACATTTTGGTGGTTTCCTATGTTCTACGCATGTGAGGGTATCCTTCTGACAAAATTAGTTCATCCCGTATGTATGCAATTAAATGTCAGGACTCCTTGAATCTATCCCTTGTCTCAAGGTAAGAGCAGATGCAGACCTTGCAAACTGCAGAGGGGCCCCTTCTCGTGGAAGGAAAGTGTCTTGTCCCCTGAATGTCATATATTCCCCTAACAGCCTCCTGCAGCAGATGCGTTAAAGGCCAGTGGGAAGATGCTTGAAGGTGGAAGAAAACCCAACCCACTCCAGAAGAGCAAAGGTACGTAAAGATGGAAGGAGGGTGAAACAGCACTGAGGCTTAGGAAGTGATGAGCGTGGTGGTGAATTTTGTTTTTAAGCATGCAAGTTTAAGACGCCCTTTCCTTTCTGGAAAGTATGAGGAAAAGGAGCTTGGCAGAGAGTTTCAGCATAAAGACAGATTTGGGGCATACGAAGATCTGAAGGGGGTTGGCAGGGGAATGGGGGGGAGTCATTTCCTTTCTATATGACCCCAGAGAAGAGCCACATTGCCATCATGGTGCTCCCTTGGGGCACCAGTTCCTTGATCATGTGACTGTTTCCCCACCAGAGCTCTGAGAGCAGGACTTTCAGAGAGGGTATGAGACCTCATTTTCCTGCCTCTCACTACCTTGGGTTGGGTCTTCCTCATAATGGTCTCCCCATACCCCTTCTACTAGAAGCTTTCACCAAAGTGATATGAAAAACTTTCAGTTTTTCTGGTTGTAGACATGATATGCGTTTGTTATTAAACAAAATTGGAGAATGTAGCCCAGAAGGGCGGAAACTCACTTATGATCTACCACTCAGGCCGTCTGTGTTGGTATATTTGCTCTTCAGTCCTAGTCAGTGTGCTCATTCTAGAAGTCTGGGAAGGCTCCTCTCCAGAGTAGTACTTCACCCAACTCCTCCGGTGCCTGCTTCACCAGCAGTGGTGGGCAGCTCTTCTTTTGCATAAGAGCGAGTCACAGAAAGCAGAATTGTTTCTCGGCCTGCAAACCCTCATTCAGAATGGTGACAGCTTTGCGTCCCATAGTGGAATAACTAAGTATGTTCTTTTACAGGTTAGATTTCCTGCCTTATTGTTCAGATCAAGGGTCAGCAAAACTTTTGTGAGCCAGTGGTTAATATTTTAGGCTTCGCAGGCCAGGGGCTCTCTGTCATAGAAACTTAACTCTGCCTTATCGCAGCGTGAAAGCAGCCACAGACAGTGTGCACACAAATGGGCGTGTCTGTGTCCCAGTTATTTACAAACACAGGAAGTGGGCCGGATCTGGCCTGCATGCTAGAGCTCGCTGATCTTGGCTTGGATGTTTGTCAGAAATTGTGCTGTTCCTTGACCCAGGCACGACTGAGAAGCAAGCACATGGAGCTGGAGCCGGCCTTCTAGTCTTTTCTCATGCAGTTGGGTTGAAGGCCATGTGTGAAGCTGGGAAAGCTGGCATGGCCAGAGGGGTCAAAAACTGGGCCTGCCACATTTAAAAATCAGGGTTCTCAGGACTTCCCTGGTGGCACAGTGATTGAGAATCCGCCTGCCGATGCAGGGGACGCGGGTTCGTGCCCTGGTCCGGGAGGATCCCACATGCCGCGGGGCGGCTGGGCCCGTGAGCCATGGCCGCTGGGCCTGCGCATCCGGAGCCCACAGGCGGGAGAGGCCACAGCAGTGAGAGGCCCGCGTACTGCAAAAAAAAAAAAAAAAAAAAGAGCAGAGGGCAGAACAAGTATATCATGTGTTATTAGATTCTTATACCCTGAACACAGCATCTTTCATTTTTTTATTTTTTATATGAAGTATAGTTGATTTACAGTGGTGTGTTAGTTTCAGGTATACAACAGAGTGGTTCAGTTATACATACATATATATATATTTTATACACACACACACACACACACACATATATTTTTCAGATTCTTTTCCTTTATGGGTTATTACAAAACATTGAGTAGAGTTCCCTATGCTATACAGTAGGTCCTTGTTTATCTGTTTTATACATAGTGGTGTGTATATGTTAATCCCAAACTCCTAATTTTCCCCCCCCTTCCCCTTTGGTAACCATAAATTTGTTTTCTATGCCTCTGGGTCTGTTTCTGTTTTGTAAATAAGTTCATTTGTACACAGCATCTTGTACTTAAACTGAGCAGAAAGGCTTATTTGTATCTTTCAGTTATAAAGACTGCATCTCTTTTCTAGTTCTACTTTAAAATATATTCAAGTTGATGGGTGGGAATTTCCAGAGGTTTTTCAGCCTTCTCTACTGCTCCCTCGTAAGAAACTGAGTTTTTGGAAGCAGGTGATATTGTACAGAAAAGTTAGCTGCTCCCGGCCGTAAGTGTAGAGTATCTTGCTGACTGTGCTGACTTCTGGGGATTCTCATTGGGCCCACAGACAGCAGTGGAACTGGCAAAGGTGACCTGCAGTCGACCTTGCTGGAAGGGCATGGCACTGCCCCACCTGACCTGGATCTCTCGGCCATTAATGGTAAGTCATTGGCTGTACCTGTCCTTTCCCCAGCTGGGGGTTGCAATGCATGTCTGAGGGCTCCCAAAATATGCTCTTCTCACCTTAAAAAACACTTTTTTTTAAAAATTGAAGCATAGTTGATTTACAATGTTGTATTAGTTTCAGGTGTACAGCAAATTGATTCAGTTATACATACATATATATCTATTCTTTTTCAGATTCTTTTCCCTTATAGGTTATTACAAAATATTGAGTATAGTTCCCTGTGCTGTACAGTAGGTCCTTGTTGGTTATCTATTTTATATACAGTAGTGTGTCTATGTTAACCCCAACCTCCTAATTTATCCCCCCCTCCCCTTTGGTAACCATAAGTGTTTGTTTTCAGTGTCTGTAGGTCTGTTTCTGTTTTGTATAAGTTCATTTGTATCATTTTTTTTTAAGATTCCACATGTAAGTGATATCATATGGTATTTGTCTTTCTCCGTCTCGCTTACTTCACTCAGTATGACAATCTCTAGGTCCATCCATGTTGCTGCAAATGGCATTATTTCATTCTTCTATATGGCTGAGTAATACTCTGTTGTGTATATGTGCCACATCTTCTTTACCCGTCCATCTGTTGATGGACCTCTAGGTCGCTTCCGTGTCTTGGCTGTTGTAAATAATGCTGCTGTGAACACGGGTGCATGTATCTTTTCAAATTATGGATAAAACGCTTTTCTTGATCTTAGACAAAAGTGTGGTCCGAAAGACTCCACAGTTAGAAAAAACAATGTCAAAGAAAGCCGAGTCATCATCATTTTCTGCCTTGAGGAAAAAGAGCCCAGTAAGTCTCTGAAATGAGAGGGAAGCCACTATAGCAGGTTGGCTAAATCTGCCCTGTGCCACGTGCCCCTCGAAACCTGGGGACTCCAAGAATAAACAAGCCAGCTGTGCCTTTTAGAACAAAAACCTTACCCATCCTTAGAGGATTTGCGGTTTCAGTTTCCCCAGCTACATGTACAGGAGGGGATACAAATGCAGGATCATGTGAAAAATGAGACTGAGGCCTTGTTTGCCAGTGCCACGCTAGGGAAGGCACTAGGCCAGGCCCTGTTCACGGCAGGGAGGGCGGCCAGGCTGTGGTCTCACCCAGGTGGGAACCCCAAGTCCTGGTTCTGGCAAGGCAACAAGTTGGTGGGTGCCCTTCAGCTCACGCTTGACAGACCAGCTTGCAGGAAGGGACCAAACCACCTTCCTTTTCACAGAGGACTCGAAAGACTAAATGAGCAAATAGAAACGAGTCGATACACAGTCTAGAATTGTTCGATTACTGATTGAAAAAAAGTACAGACAGGTTAGGATTCTGCCCCTCCCCGGGAAGAGAGCTGGCTTTATACCAGTTCACGGGGAACCAGCAGTGTCATTTTCTTCTCCTGAAGGATCTCTCCGAAGCGATGGAAATGATGGAATCCCAAACACTACTCCTGACTCTGCTGACCTTGAAGGTGAGGACGGAGCCTCCTGCACGCGTGTCGTGGGTGGAAGGGCGGCCACTGTCAGCCGCGGAGGTGAGGTCGCCTCTGGCCTGAGCTTTTGTTTTGCATTTCCCAGATGGAAAGTGGTCTTGCTGCATTCGAAGAAAAGGCAGAAAAGAATTTATTAATAATGTGCAAAGAGAAGGAGAGGCTCCAGAAAAAAGCTCACGAGCTGAAGCGCCAATTTCTCCTCTGTCAGAGGAAGCGGGAGCTGGCAGACGTCCTGGATGCGCAGGTCAGGGGTGACCGCAGCCTCCAAGAGGCGCATCCTGGCAGCATTGTCCCACGGGGGTGGTGGTGGGGTGGTTGGAGGGAGCCTTTATTGTGAGCGTCGCTCCTCGCCTGGCTCTGACTCTGTGCCCGGCTTTTGACACCACTGGGTGTTGCTACGTGACGGTTTATCAGAGGACAAGGCGGTAATGTCAGAACCAACCAGCAAGAGGCCTCTGTCCCTTCAATACACATGGGCATGTATTCTGGTGACTTGTATCCTGAGACTTGTGCCCAGTGACACAGATGTACTCCAGACCTGCCCATTTGGGCCAGGGTGCTGGTGGGAGACTTGGGCTTGGTGCTGTGTGGTCAGTGCTGGGACGGGAGTGTCCATGCTAGGGAAGGTCACAACGAATCGTGGGAACCTAGAAAGGGCCGATCAGGGAATGGGGCTCCTCACCCAGTAAGTATGTATCCTGGGGCCGCCATAACAAAGGACCACAGAGTGCGCGGCGGCTTAAACAATTGACATGTATTTTCTTTCAGTTCTGGAGGCTGAAGGTCTGAGATCAAGGTGTCTGCAGGGTTGGTTCCTTCCGAGGGCCACGAGAGAAGGCTGTGTCCCAGCTTCTCTCCTTGGCTTGTCGATGGCATCTTCTCCCTGTGTCTCGTCACCTGGCTCTCTCCCTCTGAGTGTCTGTCTCCACATTTCCCCCTTTTGTAAGGACACCTGTCATACTGATCAAGGCCCAGCTTAATGACCCCACCTTAACTGAATTACCTCTGTAAAGTCTCCAAATCAGGTCACATTCTGAGGTGCTGGGGGTTGGGATGTCAACAGAGGAATTTGTGGGGACACAATTCAGCCCGTAACACCCAGCATGTACACATGAGTGTGCCCAGCAGCCCGGCCCTGAGCTGAGAACAGGGTCCCTATCCTCGTGGAACTCACGATAGAAGGGAAGGGAAAGACAGTCAAACAAATGAATCCTTACAACCCCCAGACGGCATGTACAAGGGAAAAGGGGGCTGCCGGGCATGGCCTTGGTGGGGGGCAGGCATGTCAGCTCAGTGCTCTGAAGCAGGAGGGCCCAGCCCTGGAACAAGCTGGAAGGCGGACACGTGTTCCTGGTGAGGAGACCCAGGCCACCTTGCTACTGGCCGGGCCATCTTCGGGGCACCTGGGAGTGAGGGGAGAGCCCGCTGCACCCTTAGAAGTTTCTCTGGGAGACCTGGCAGAACAGTGCTGTGTCTTACCTCACAGGTGCCGTCTGGCAAACTGGCGAGGTGAGTGCAGGGCCTCGTCCCACAGGCTCCTTCCCCTTCTGCCTGCAGATCGAGATGCTGAGCCCCTGTGAGGCCATGGCCAGCTGCTTTAAGGAACGATACAAGACATTTGCGACGGCCCTGGACACCACGAGGCATGAACTGCCCGTGAGATCGGTCCACCTGGACGGAGACGGGCAGTGCTTCTTAGGTAGGAAACGGGGCAGCTGCCCGGCAAGGGGTGGGACGCATGCTGGCATCTCCTGTGTCCTGGGCACCTTTATCCGTTCGTGTCAGGTCATAGGCCTCCTCTCAGGTAGATGGCGCGTACCCCATCAAATGGCAGAGGACGCAGGGGGCCAGCAAGGCTGCGGTTTGTGTGGGGTCATGCATGCCCTGAGTAAGGACTGTGTTGGGATTTGAACCTAGGTCTGTAGGACCCCTGCAGTGATTTTCCGTCCTGCTGAAAGGTGTCCTGGGGAGACTGCAGTCTCTACAAAGGTGCTTTGGTGGCTGGGGAACAACAGGGCCACCGACCCCAACCCTGTCCTGCCTTCTAAGCAGAGCTGAGAGGGTCCCTTTCCTGTATAGCGTTCCCACCTAATACTTCACTTGAAGAAGGCGGCAAGTGTGAAGAGTGCCATCCTCTATCCTAAAATTCTCTTTAGAACAAGTATCTTCCCCAAACAAGTTTTCAGCTGCCCTACAGTTTGGTCCTCCCTCCCTCCCTCCCTCTCCCTCCCTCCCTGTCTCCCTCTCCCCGCTCCCTCCCTCCCTGTCTCCCGTACCCCACCCTCCCTTCCTCCCGTTCTTTCTCTGAAGTATAGTTGATTTATCAATACAATGTTGTGGTAGTTTCTGCAATACTGCAAAGTGACTTAGTTATACACATATAGACATTCTTTTTTTCGTATTCTTTTCCATTATGGTTTATCACGAGATATTGAATATAGTTCCCTGTGCTATATAGTGGGTCCTTGTTGTTTATCCATCCTATAGATACTAGTTTGCATCTGCTAACCCCAGCCTCCCACTCCATCCCCCCCGCTGCCCCTTGGCAACCACAGGTCTGTTCTCTGCGTCTGTGAGTCTGTTTCTGTTTCGTAGATAAGTTCATTTATGTCATATTTTAGATTCCACATGTAAGTGATGTCATATGATACTTGTCTTTTTCCGGCTTACCGCACTTACTATGATAATCCCTAGGTCCATCTGTGTTGCTGCAAATGGCATTATTTCATTCTTTCTTATGGCTGAGTAGTATTCCATTGTATATAGGTGCCACATCGTCTTTATCCATTCATCTGTCCGTGGACACTTAGGTTGCTTCCATGTCTTGGCTATTGTGAATAGTGCTGCTATGAAGATAAGGGTGCGTGTATCTTTTTGAATTAGAGTTTTGTCCAGATATATGCCCAGGAGTGGGATTGCTGGGTCATATGACATAGAGTTTGGTTATTTCTAAGCAAAGTTCTCATGAGCCACCTGGACGTGTTTAGCTTGACTTTACTGATGTAAAATCAAGCCTTTTCCAATGTGAAATAGTATATGTATGAAACAGGACCTTGAAAAATGAGCCATGTTGAACCATCATCTGTGTCCGGGTTTCTAATTTTATAATTATGGCAACCAACTATTATGGCACGTCTATATCTCTTGGTCTCCATCTCTGATAAATGCCCTAGATAGTTGCCAGGAGTTGGGATTGGGGACTGTTTGAGTTTCCTAGGGCTTCTGTAACAAAATACCACAAATCAGGTGGCCTAAAACAACAGAAATTTATTCCCTCCCAGTTTAGGGGACTAGAAGTCCGAAATCAAGGTGTCATTGGGGTTGGATTCTTCTGGAGGCTCTAGGGGAGAATGCATCCCCTGGCTTTTAGTGTTCTGGCAGTCTTGGCTCATGGAGCATTCCTTCAGACTCTGACTCTGTTTTTTTTTTTTTTAATTAAGCTTTTAAAAAATATTTATTTATTTATTTTTGGCCGCGTCGGGTCTTAGTTGTGGCACGCGGGATCTTTTCGTAGCAGCGCGTGGGCTCTTCATTGCGGCGTGCAGGCTCCAGAGTGTGTGGGCTCTGTAGTTGTAGCTCTCTAGTCGTGGCTTGTGTGCTCCGTAGCTGCGGCGTGCGGGCTTAGTTGCCCTGCGGTACGTGGGATCCAGGGATCGAATCTGCGTCCCCTTCATTGGAAGGAGCATTCTTAACCACTGGACCACCAGGGAAGTCACCAAGCTTTATTTTATTTTGGTATTGTTTTTTTAAATTTTTATTGCAGTGTAGTTGATTTACAGTGTTGTGCTGCTGCCTCTGTCTTCACATGGCCTTGTTTCTGAGCGCCTCTGTGTCTAAACTGCCCTTTTCTTAGAAGGACACCAGTTATTGGATTAGGCCCCTCCCTAATGACCTCATTCTAACTCCGTTACATCTACAAAAACCTCATTTCCAGTTAGGTCATGTTCACAGGTACTTGAGATTAGGACCTGAACATGTCTTTTTGGGAGGACACAGTTCAGTCCCCTGGCAAAGAAGATATGTGTTTGTAAGAACACTTATAAGGTTCCCCAAGTGTTATAATTTACAGCTGGGACATGTGCTGGACTCGGAGAGATGCTAGTTTTGTTAGAGCAGGGGGTACCCAGCGCTGTTGCAGGCGGCTCTCTGCTGGGGGGGCGTTGGGGGCAGAAGTGCGGGGAACCGGGAGTGGGAACTATGGGTTTGTTCTTAAGTTACTCCCAGACCAGATCTTCTCTGTCTTTTGGATTTGCTTCTGTTGAGGGCACCAGTGCACCATTCCAGGTATGTTCCAATGACTGCCTAGATGGCAGCCACACATGGCCCGCCGTCTCAGAGCCCCGTGATCGCAGGCAAAGGGGCACAGAGGCAGTACCAGTGCACGAATATCTTCCTTCACGACCCTTTCTGCCTTCGAGCTCATCACAATTCCTGCATAACATGAGAGCATTCCAGCAAAAGGAGAAAAATACAGTCAGCCAGCCAGCTCGTGCATCCATTGCTTGGGGCACCTTGAAACCATGGCTGACACCGCCTTTTCCCCTCCAGACAAGTTGCAGGGGGAATTGACGACCACATGCCATCTGCTGGGAGAACTTGGCATCAGCAGCTCAGAAGAAAACGCGAAGGCCTTGGACCTGCTGAGGGAACTAAAGGAAATGACCCAAAAGAAGGATCTGGAGCTCCAAAGGTATTACAGAAAATACTTTTTTAAAAAGATAGTACTCCTCTCCCCACATCTCCTTGTCGGGCAGAGATGGGCTGTTGGCGGCTGCCCTGTGGAAGGTGTGCTGTGTTCCGGAGGGTGGGCAGCTCTGGTGTTTGCAGGGGCTGAGGGTACGAGGGTCCAGCGAGGCAGGGAGAGGGGAATGGGCAAGATGCCTTCAACCCAACCAAAACTCCTGTGCTCGTTCTTGAGCAGCCAAAATAGAAAGGGGCGATCACTTCCTTGGGGTAACACAGCAGTTCAGGGGCCCTCAGACAGTTTTTTGATGCTCTGTGTGGCTCGTGAGGTCTTAGTTCCCCAGCCAGGGATCAAACCCAGGCCACGGCAGTGAAAGCACAGAGTTCCAACCACTGGACTGCCAGGGAGTTCCCAGGAACTTCTTATTGATGTATAAGTACATATAGAAAAGCCACAGATTGTAACGGTACAGCTCAGTGGCTTTCACTACCGGGCACCCTTGTGTAACCAGTGCCCAGGTCCACTCAGCCCATGTCCAGCCCCCGAAAGCCACCCGGTCCCCTTCTCTCCTCCAGGACATTTCTAACCATGAGGCTTTCTTCCACCTCTTCTAAAAAAGAATCTAGTGTTCTTCTCCCTTACGATGCCAGATGTGCTTCCCGAGGTGCCTGAGAGGTTTGAAGGACTCATGATAAGCGCCACCTGCTGTGGCATCTCCCTCGTCACTCTGTGGCCCGGGACTGAATGAGACGCGCCAAAGTGTTCTAGATGGCCGGGGCCACGGGAGGGAGCGGGGAAGCACGCTCGTTCCGTGCTATCTCCCCGCTGCCGTTTATCTTGTGTGGTTGCTGGGGGAGCTCCCCGTTCATGGCTCTGCCTCCCGCTCTTAGGGTGGTTCCTGTCAAGTGTTGATACTCCCTAAATAGTTGTCGAGTAAACAACTCTTTTCTTTCACACCTGCCCGGTCCTGCTCTCAGGGCTTCCCTGTTTGAGTTCTGTTCAGAAAAAACTTATTCACTGCCGCTTTCCCACGAGCCCGAGGAGGGTCACCCTGAACCTCCCCCCGCCCCCGCCCCCCGACATGGCAGCTGCGCAGGTGCTCGGGCACAGAGGGTGAAAAGCTTTCATCATCGTCTTGTTTCCACAGGAGCTTTACCCAGGTTCTGGAACTCTCCGCCGAGGCGAGTAAAGAGGCAGCCTTAATCAACCAGGAGGCCTGGGAAAAGGCCCAGGGCCCCAAGGCCACCAGCCAGTGGTATTTCAATCCTGAGGAGGCCACTGGTGGGGAAACTCAGGGAGAGCTAAGGAGCCTGCTCCTTTCGGGCCACGACGAGCCGTGAATCCACATGCAGGCTGTGTCCCTAACCGGAGTGGGGACCTTCCTGCACACCATGGGGAAGGAAGCACGTCCTGTGCCCCTTGTTTGGGGTGGGGAGAGGGGGTGGACCTGCAGTGACCCACATATGATGTTCTGGAAACTTGAGCACTTTATACACTTAGCCTAGCCATATAGTTATTGTTTTGTATGATAATCCCGTTTGATAATTTAACAAATAAAACTGTTTTGCAGTTGAGCCTTGGTTTCTCTGTAAGGAGCAGTGGAAGGTGCGTGTTGTCCCAACTTATTCCAAAGAGCTGGTCCTGAGCCTCAGAACCTCACAGACATCATGAATCCAGTTGACCCTTGCACACTGTGGGTTTGAATTGCCGGTCCACTTATACATGGATTTTTTTCAGTAGTAAATACTGTAGCACGACACGATCCGTGGTTGGTTGAATCCACGATGTATAACTGCGGCTACGGAGGGCAGACTATAAGTTCTACGCAGATTTTCGACTGCACAGCCCCTAACCCCCTGTTGTTCAAGGGTAAACTGTATTTCACTTTCAAGATGATTTCATGTCCTTCAGTCACAGGGCAGTTCTGTTCAATAACCCACAGCAAGTTCAGAGCTGGCCCTCAAATGGAAATTCTCCGTCCAGTCCAAAGTCCCAGTGGCCATCCTTGGGGGACGCCTACGCGGTTTTGCCGTAGCTGCGATCTACACTCCACTCGGGACTATGGCACAGAGGATCGGTCCAGCCCACGCTTGGGCTTCTGTCTACACCATGTGGGCCCTGGCAGTCTTCCTGGTTCCCATGGAGCATGCCTCCGTTGACGTCTACCAGTTCCCATCTACAAGCAACTTTCTGACACGACACCCCATCCCACTATCAGTAGTTTCTTGGTTCGTCCGCCCGCATGTCATGTGGATTACCTTCCCGGTGACCAGAGGCCTAAGAGGCACTCTGTTGTCCCCACATAACTTTTCCCTTCGTGGGCTGGTGGCCAAAGCTCAGATCTATAGAAATCTGACCTTGCTCTGGCAGGAAGGTGTGACCCAACATTCTCTTTACTTTCATTAGAGTTACTGCTCATAACAATAGCCAGAGGTTAGACTTCACCATTTTTCTTGTTTATTTGCATTTCCCTAAGCACCAGTGGAGTTGGATCCAGCTCTACATTTCAACGGTAAATTTTATCTTTAACTGATGGCAGCTAAGCTGATGTTCACCTAAGAATCCAAGGTTCCTCAACCCCCCCAACTTTCATCCTTTCTCTTCCCACCCCCCATGTTTCCATGAACCAGGGCCATTCTAACAAATCCCACCTTCTCTGACCTCAGTTGTATGGTGGTTTCTGAGTTAGTGTTTAATGGGGACAGAGTCTCAGTTTTGCAAGATGAAAAGTCTGAAAAAGTCTCAGTTTTGCAAGATGGTGCTGATGGTTGCACACCCATGTGAATATTCTTAACACCAGAGACCTGTATGCTTAGAAATGATTACTACGGTAAATTTTCTGTATTTCTTACCACAATAAAAAAATGTAAACAATGGGGGGAGAGTAACTATTCATAATCCAGGAAGACAGGAGAGAAAACAATAGCAGAAGAAACTCTTCAATACATGTGTATGGTGAAGAACTAACCTTGCCTAAGAGAAATTGGGCCTTTGCTGTCAGCTCTTAGGAGGTGACTTCTAGGCCCCTGGAATGTTCTGCTGGATAGGAGTATCTGTGTGCATGAGGACTTCGGGCCATGGGGGGCTTGAGTACTGCCTTTGGAAGAGACTGGAGACTGAAAGTCAGCCATGCAGCTGTACATGACCATGCCCCAACAAAAACTCTGAGTACTGAGGCTTGGGTGAGATTCCCTAGTTAACAATTGGTGTGTGTTGTCACACAGTGTGGCTGGGAGGGGGAATTGCCGTCTGTGAGTCTCCAGGGAGAGAGCAACTGGAAGCCCCATGTTTGGACCCCTCCTGGACCCTGCCCCGTGCACCTCTTTCTTGGGTTGGTTTTAGTTGTATCTTACCACTGTAATAAACTGTAACCGTGAGTATAACAGCTTCCAGTGAGTTCTGTGAGTCCTTCTAGTGAATTATTGATTAACTATTGATTAACCAATAATTAACTATCAGTTAATTATTAACTGATAGCTAACTATTGGTTAACCAATAATTATTAACTAACCAATAATTAACTATTGGTTAATTATTAATTAACCATCTCAAAACCACCTGAGATGGTTTTGGGAACCCTCCAGTTTGCAATAGGTGTCAGAAGCATGGGCAGTGGTCCTGCCTCTGTGGAAATGTGATGGTTCCTCAAAACGTTAAACGTAGAATTACCATGTGATTCAGCCATTTCACTCCTAGGTGTGGACCTTAAAAAAATTGAACCCAGAGACTCAAATAGGTACTTGAGTACCAATGCTTATAGCAGCACTATTCACAATTGCCAAAAGGTGGAAACAACCCAAATGTCCATCGGTGGGTGAATGGAAGAACAGAATGTAGTGGATCTATGCAATGGAATATTACACAGTCATAAGAAAGAGTGAAACTCTGATTCATGCTACAACATGGATAAACCTGGGAAACATGCTGAACGAAGAAGCCGGACATAAAAGGCCAAGTGTTTTATGATTTCATTTACGTGAAATGTCCAGAATAGGCAAATCCATGGAGACAAAAAGCAGATCAGTGGTTGCCAGCGGCTGGGGGAAGAGAGCAACGGGAGTGACTGCTAATTGGTGTGGGGTTTCCTGTAGGGTGATGAAATATTCTGGAACTAGATAGAGGTATTGGTTGCACAACTCTGAATATATTAAAAAGCACTTGTAGTGGGACAAATTGTGGCCCCCAGAATATACATCCATCTGGGACCTCAGAATGAGATTGAATTTGGAAGAAGGATTTTTGCAGATGTAATTAACACAAGGATCTCAAGGTGAGGTCATCTTGGATTGGCAGTGGGCCCTAAGTCCAATAACAGGTGACCTTATAAGAAAAGAGCAGGGAAAACAGATATAAGACACAGAGAAAAGAAGGCCATGTGATGACAGAGGCAAAGATTGGAGCCATGTAGCTACAAGCTGAGGAAGGCCAAGGATTGCCAGCAGCCACCAGAAGCTAGGAGAGAGGCATGGGAAGGATTCTCCCTTAGAGCCTCCAGAAGGAACCATCCTTGCCCACACCTTGATTTTAGTTTTCTGGCCACCAGAATGGTTAGAATAGATTTCCATAGTTTTAAGCCTCCAAGTCTGCGTTAATTTGTTATGACAGACCCAGGAAAAAATACACCACTGAATGGTACACTTTAATATGATAAGCACACACATGCACACATACACAACCCTCCTTCTGCAGCCTTCCTCATCTCCACCAATGACAGTCCAAACTTCTAGCACTTAGGCCAAACCCTCCTGTTGCCCTATATTCAGGATATAAGTGTCTGATAATCTGCCATATGCTTGTTTTTCCCTCTGCTCTTTTTTCTTCTTTCTCCAGCAGCTTTTAGACTATTCCTCTTCCCTGTAGTTCCCTTCATCTTTTGGCCTCTATTAACAATTGTGAAATTATGCCACCCACCGTCTAAAATGGGCAGTGGTATACCACATGCTTCAATTAAGCAAGGGCTCCAGAGGGCTGCAGAACGAACAGATGGTATGTAAAATACACTCTGTCATGTTAGGAACTAAACTTAAAACTATTTAAGAAAAAACTATTCATTGTGAAGATGAATCACATGGAAAGATTGCCATGATTTTTTAAATGAAAACTGGTCAAAATAATGTGCAGGGTGTGGAACAATTTGTGTTAAAATTTCTAAAAATCTGGAAAGAGAAACAAAAATGTGTTGAGAGAAGCTGTGTCCAGGGTGGGGGTACTGGGGACCCTGAGGTTAGAGGGATGCTTGCTTGTGATTCTTGTTGCATTTTGTGTTCCTTTGGTCAAGTATTTTCTCATCTGCCTGTATCACATTTCCACAAGAAATTCATACATGGAATTCAAGCAAACAGGCTTTCTAAATTGCCATGCTTACGTTCAAGTTATGGTGTCTCAACCTCAGCACTGTTGATGTTTGGAGCCAGATCATTTTTTTGCAGCAGAAGCCATCCTGCACATTTTATTTTATTTTATTTTATTTTACTTATTTGGTTGCGCCAGGTCTTAGTTGTGGCACGTGGGCTCCTTAGTTGCCGCATGCAAACTCTTAGTTGCAGCATGCATGTGGGATCTAGTTCCCTAACCAGGGATCGAACCTGGGCCCCCTGCATTGGGAGTGCGGAGTCTTAACCCCTGCCCCACCAGGAAAGTCCCCATCCTGCACATTGAGGGATGTTGAGCATCATCCCTGACCTTCATTCACCAGATGCCAGTAACATTCCCCCAACCAAAAACGTGTCTGGACATTGCGACATTGCGACATTGTGACCCCAAGGGTTGGAATTGCTCTGTGTGGTAACCCCTATGATGGGGCAGGCCCATTCCCTGTGCCTGCCCCCACCCCCACCCCATCAGCCACACCATCTTCATTCATTGACCTCATTCATTCATTGCAGAAGAAAAGATGAGAATGCAGCTCTGCGTGACTGCTTCTCGACCATGACTGGGCTGAGAATTAACGCAAAGTCTGGCAAAAATCTCGACAAGGGTTGGCAAGCTACAGACTTCAAGCCAAATCTGAACTTCCTCCCGTGCCTGCACATAAAGTTTTATTGAAACATAGCCACACCCATTTGTGTACATATGGTCTGTGGCTGCTTTCACTCTATAATGGCAGAGTTGCGTCTTTGTGACAGAGACCATCTGGCCTGCAAAGCCTAAAGTACTTTCCATCTGACCTAGTAAAAGTTTGCTGACCCCAATCGAAACAGTAAAGTAGGAAATCTAAGTTGTAAAAGAACATAGTTAGCTTTTTCCTGTGGGACTCAAAAGTTGTCACCATTTTTGAATGAGGGTTTGTGGGCCAAGAAAGAGCTTTGCTTTTTGTGAATTGCTCCCATGCAAAAGAAGAGCTGTCCACTATTGCCGGAGAGGCAGGCATGCAAGGGGTTGGACAAAGTGCTGCGCTGGCGAGGGACCTTCCAAGACTTCTTATAGAATGAGCACACTGACTAGAATTGAACACCAAATGTGCTGACAGTGATGGTCTGAGTGACAGATCATGAGTGAGCTTCTGCCCTCCTGGTTTACGTTTTCCAGTTTTTTGGTAATGATCACATGTCAGGTCTACAATCAGAAAAACTGT